CCTTCCTGCTGGAGAGGTACCTATTTATCTACTTGCACTTTGACGTGCTTTTGTACTGCTAGGTTGGCAGGAGCAGGGACTGAACAATGGGAGCTCACCCTGTCAAGGGGATTTGAACCACCGGCCTTCTGATCGGCAAGTCCTAGGCTCTGTGGTTTAACCCACAGCGCCACCCACGTCCCAGTGAGAAGAGGTAGTCCTTGAGATTTTGAGGTCCTGTACTGTGTAAGGTTTTATAGATTAAAACCAGCACTTTGAATTCAGCCTTATGCTAACTGGCAGCTGTTAGATTTGCTACAAAGCAATCCCTGATCTGGAACTTGTCCAGAGTAGAAAATGAATTTGGTCTCCACTGCAAGAATGAGATTCAAAGCTATACTGGAAACAGTCTTAAAATAATTACATATAAATATTACAATATACAAAGTAACATATTGCTCAAGCAACACGGTAACATCTTCTTTTCGGTTCTTGAAGCAGTTCAGTAAACTTTCCTCTCTCTGCTCTCATAGAGAGATCCTAAGCTTATTCATCATCAAAGTTTTGCATCTACCACTACTGCTGTTGCCGGCTGCATTGCCTGACATAAACAAAGCTTCTCAGGTTTCCTCTTCCTGCTGTGAGAGAATACAGATTTTGGTATGCATTGAAATACTATTTTTTGTACTGATTTTTTTTTTAAAAAAAAGATTAATGGGCAGAACAACACATGCAAAACACACAACACTGACACAGATTTGTCCATACTAAAGGTTCCTGGTAGTCAGAAGAGAAGAATGACACTCTATGCAAATATGTCAAAGCTTTGTGCAAATGCATACACATTGCTCCATTAGACAATCAGAGCCTTCTTACTTCTCCTGCATCTTTGTGTGTGTGTGTTTAAAAAAATATGATTTGTGTGTGATTTGCTTTACTGTTTTTAATCCCTGTAGGGCCTCCTGGAGAATTCTAGCCAGTTGCCAGGTCGACTCCACCAGGGTTTCTACACAACTCCAAAGATGTTGCCACTCAACCCCAAAGTCATCCAAGTAAGCTGCAGCAATGTCAGTGTTGAGAAGGTGGCCCAGAATCTCTGTGCACCACACCATTCGCTACTGAGGAATGCCAATACATTATATAAACCAGAGACGGGGGACCTTCAGTCGTAAGGCCAGCTGTGTCCTTCTAGGAGTCTCTATCTAGCCTTCAGAACTCTTCCTAGGCCATACAGCCTCTCCTTGGGACATATCCCTCATTAGTCTCTAGAGTGCTTTTGCCTGGCTAGAATGTTTCCTTGAACTCTGACAACACACACACACACACACACACACACACACACACACACACATATATCTGGCATTTATTGCTCTAGCTTGAAACAAACAAGTGGAACTAGGAGCAATTGGTGGTTGTGCAGTTAAGGAAAATGTCTATTGTAGCCCCGTCTGCCAAAAGGGAGAAGTCGGCAGTTGCGTTTTACAGGCAATTAGTGGAACTTCTGGAGTCCCCGCATACATTCTGCAGTTTTTTGGCTACATGCTGTCAGAATCGGAGAGGGTTTAATGCTGTCGCCAAAACATCATAAAATCAGGACTCATGACGTCTGAAATGGAAACACTTTGCAAAGCTTTGCGTTAATGAGCTCGTTTGACAAATCTTCTTTAAAGCCGCCTGTAGCTGCAAAGTTTGGGTTGCAGCCAATTAAGTTCTCTTCAGGGTAGACCCATGAACCTAAGTTTAGCCACATCCAGACCATAGATTTAAAGCACGATGACACCACCTTAAACAGTCACAGCTTCCCCCAAAGAACTCTGGGAGCTGTAGTTTCTCAAGGATGCTGAGAGTTGTTAGGATACACCCCCTATTCCTTTCATAGAGCTACAATTCTCAGAATTCCCTGTGAACAGGGATTTTGTTGTTAAACCACTCTGACAAATGTAGCTCTCTGAGGGGAATAGAGGGCTCCTGGGGGCTCTCTGCTCCCTTCACAAACTACACCTCCTAGAATTCTTTGGGGGAAGTCTTGACTGTTTAAAACTGGCATCATAGTGCTTTCAGTGTATTGTGTGGGTGTAGACTTAGTCATGTCCATTAACTTCAACAGGTCTACTCGGTGTAGGAGCAGCACCAAGCCTTCTGCTTTGCATGCAGATCATCCTGGGTTCAGTCCCCAGCATCTCCAGATAGGACTGGGAAAGACTTCCTGTCTGAAATCCTGAAGGGCCGTTGTTGGGCGGTGAGCTAAATGGATAGCGAGCTTACTAAATGGACTGATGGCCTGACTCAGTATAAGGCAGCTTCCTGTATTCAAATCTATTTATGCTTGCTGTTCTCTGAGAAGATACCTGCATTGCACATCCCTCCCCCCGCCCCTTCTGCTCTCTTCTCATTAAAATACCAAGGAGCTGACTTACTTGCTTACAGATACAAAAAAGGATTCCACTGACCTAGACAGAATGGAGACAAATTGTTCAGTTTCCTCCCAGGCAAACTCGAGTGATTGGGAAGTTGCTATTAAGTGAGCAGGAGGGGCACATTTTAATAATGAATTGTACCTCCGCGTTGCTGGCCCAGGTAAGCACACCATTATTTTATTTTCAGCATCTCTCTGCATGCACGCCCCAAAGAAATTAAACCGTTCACAAAAGGCTGCTTAGCTGAGCTCCCAGCAAGCAGAGACGAGGAATAAAACCTGCCAGTTTCAGGTCACAAGTTTCTCCGTTGTATCGCAGCCAATGCATCATGACAAAGTCATGTTATGCAGGGAGCTTAAAAGATAACTAGAAATAAAGGCATTTACTTAAATGGGAGCTCCTGGTTTTGCTCCAAGAAAACAAAAGGATATGTGTGGCTTGTGTTTCTTTGTTTGGTTATTTTTTTATATGAGAGTTCAGGGAATCATTTTCAGCCTAAGGGCCAACTGCCCTTTTTGGCAGCTTTCCAAGGGCCACATGCTGGCGGGTGAGGTCAGGTGCAAAGGTGGGCAGAGCAACAAACACAGCTGTTACCCTTGTACTCCAGGCTAGTTTCTGCAAACACACATTCATTCTCTCCTTCATCCAGGCAAGCAAAAGGCCTTGTCAGAGTTCAAGGCAACATTCTAGCTAGGCAAAAGCACTCTAGAGACTAGTGAGGGATATGTCCCAAGGAGAGGCTGTATGGCCTAGGAAGAGTTCTGAAGGCTAGATAGAGACTCCTAGAAGGACACAGCTGGCCTTAACGACTGAAGGTCCCCCGTCTCTGGTTTATATAATTTATTGGCATTCCTCAGTAGCAAATGGCGTGGTGCGCAGAGATTCTGGGCCACCTTCTCAACACTGACATTGCTGCAGCTTACTTGGATGACTTTGGGGTTGAGTGGCAACATCTTTGGGGTTGTGTAGAAACCCTGGTGGAGTCGACCTGGCAACTGGCTAGAATTCTCCAGGAGGCCCTACAGGGATTAAAAACAGTAAAGCAAATCACACACAAATAATCTTTTTTTAAAAAAGAAAAAAGAAAAGATACAGGGTGTTGAATTATTCAGAGTCAGGACATTGACTCAACTAGCTCAGCATTGTCTATACTGAATTGCAGCAGCTCTCTGGGATTTTGGACAGGAGGGTCTCCCAGTCCTACCTAGAGATGCCAGGATTGAACCTGGAACTTTTACATGCAAAGCAGATGCTCTGCTACTGAGCCATGGCCCTCTGCTGGCCTAAATTCTCTTACCACCCAGAAGGGATATCAGGGCTGCTATCTTTTGCACACTTGTAACCGTGCTACCTTGCAATTTTTGAATGAAAGGTGCTCTGTAAGTGTTTTGCTAGATCAAACAACAATTTATAAACTTACTTCTGTGTAAACTGTAACAACAAAATTTTAGTCAGAGTAGATCCACTGAAATGAATGGACATCAATTAGTGATGTCTATTAATTTCAATGGGTCTACTCTGAGTAGGGCTAGCACCATATGAAACTGATTCATTGGGAGAGGTTTTATACCTGCAATCCGCAAACCACTTACTCCAGACCCAGCCTGTAGAACTTCTCTCTGTGTCTTTGCAACTCATCTAAGAATCCTGGTGAGTTTCTGGATCGTGACTTCCGAAGTTTGCTTTCTTTTCTTAAAAGAAAGAAACAGAAAAGCTCAATGAATCAAGTAGGAAAAGCATAAAGGAGAAAGGGAGAGAGGCAGCTGAATAAATAAAAATGGGCTTCATTTCCCCTAAAGAGAAAAACAGCTAGTGTGAATTTTTCAAGCTCTAGTGGTAATTTCTAACTAAACATTAATCACATACAAAAATATATCCACAATCGTTACCAAATTAAAGAGAACTGGACAACTTGATAGCTTGTCTCCTAGAGACCACACTAGAAGAAAATGTACTCTCGGGGAAGTGCTCTTCTTATATCCTTGAGTCTTCACATGTATTTGGATTAACCATTCTCTGATTTAATCATGGGATGATCAGTTAGAACCAGAACTTTGTGATAAATACCAAGGCTGCAATTCAGAGAATATCACTTGCAACTAGGAAGGTGGACCCAGATCTGAGTCACCTACACCAGGTTACCCAACCTAGTATACTCTATATTGACTGAGGCTGAAAGCAGTTGTCATCCAAAACAACTTATGGTTGGCTTAGGCTCAGAGTAAGATCACATGTCCCAGAGTAAGATCACAACAACACAATGCATCTAAAGTGCTATGATGCTACTTTAAACAAGTGCACTCTGGAAGCTGTGCGTTCTTAGGAGACCTTCATTCCCACTGCAGAGCACCAGTTCCTTGAGTGAATTAACAGACAATCCTTTTACAAAGGAAACCATGCAGTTGTAACTGTGTGGGAAAGAGGGGCCTCCTAACAACCCCCAGAACCTTTAACAAGCTACAGTTCCCATAATTCTTGACTGTTTTCCTCCTAGGAGTTTAGGGTGACATACATGGTTCTGTTCCTCCCCATTTTATACTCTCACCAACCCTGTGAGGTAGGTTACACTGAGAGATGATGACTGGCCCAAGGTCACCCAATGCATTTCATACCTGAGCTGGGATTTGAACCCTGTTCTCCAGGGTCTTAGCCTGACACCCTGACCACTACACCACACTGGATCTCTGTGTAATTGCCATGCATATTTAACCTATGTAACTTGCTGTCACATGATGTGATGGCCAGAAACTTAGCTGGCTTATAAGGGGCTTAGATAAATTTATAAAGAGAAAGGCTATAAGTGGCTATGAGTCATCATGGCAGTTATATGCAGCCTCCACATCTAAGCGTATGCTATTGAATATCATTTGCTGAGCAGAGCGAAAGCAAGGAAAGGCTATTGTTTTCAGGCTACTTGCTGGTAGGTTCCCCAGAAACATATTGTTGCATGCTACCCCAATCTCCAAGCAGTACAAGATTCCAGGGTTTCCAGGCCTCTACTCAGGGATCATGTTTCCTTTTAGAATGAGGCACAGTGGAGACTGCTGTATCATTATGAGATATGGTTTATTTACACATATATACAACCTGAGCCTACGATGGAGGGGTTCACGGAATTAACACCCCCAAAAGGGTATGGCATCTCCCCTAGCTGCAGCCTTGGATTCAAACAGAAATTAAACATTGCTCTTCCTCTCTTTCCCCAGTTTGCTGCTTTTCTTGCAGGTCACATCCCTGCAAAACTTTACTCCAAACTCTGGCTTTGTCTGTTGAGGGAGAGTGCTCCACCCATTTGCCATCTGGCCCCAAGGTCCATAATCCTTCGTTACCTCATCAGAAAGCTAGCTTTGCTATTTTCAGAATTAGAAGATTTGATTAGCATTTAACACTTGCTGGATTCAGGGATCAGAAGGGTCTGTCATACAACCTACTGCCTCAAATTCATAACAATATGTCTGGCCACTGTTGGAAATGGGATGATGGATCAGTCCAGGTGTGGGAAGCTAAGGCCCTTCTGATGGGGCTTGGAGTCCAACAACATCAGCCATATGCAGTATGGCCAATGCACAGAAAAAATAATAACGATGCAGTTGAATGAGACCCAGAGAGCCACAGTGCCCCGTTCCCTGGATTAGAAGTTCATGTGTGTGGGAAATTGCGACCTTCCAGATATTGTTGGAGTAAAACTCCCATCATCTCTGACCATGGGCCGTGCTTGTCGGGGCTGATGGAAGTTGGAGTCCAAATATTGAGGGATGCAACCCCCCGCCCCATTCCTAGACCAGATGGTGCATTAGTCTGATCCACTATAGCTCCTTGCTCCAATGAGTAGTTGCTCATTGCAACTGGGGACAAAAGTAGTAAGAGAAGGTGATGGCAGTCAGAAAGCACCAAAGCCTATTTTTTCAGCACTGGTGGAGACAGAGCATCAGAATTTTGCACCACTGATCATACAAAGCACTCTGCATCAATTTCCATTAAGCTTGTATGCCATTGTTCTCTGACAGGCTCAGCACCACTAAATGTTTTCTGAGCTTTGATAGAACCACAGAGGCAGGTTATGAAGAGCAGCCCAGCTGCGCCAACCCACAGGTCTCCGGCAACAATCCTATCATGCTAAGGAGGAGTGATCACGCAGCACAGTAATGATGGCAAGACTGATTACCTCTCAGGATGGATGTAATGCTACATTTCAGGGCTGAGGTGCGTAACTACTCCCCCCCCCCCCATTATATGTCCCTTTTGTACTTGATGTATTCTAGTCAATGGCAGTGTAATTTTCCAAGGTTCTGTAAGAGGCCCACCAAATGACTCTGCCTTCCCTTCTCAGCTCCTCAACAAAATTAAAAGCAGCTGTGAGCTTTGCAAAGGCACTGCACTTACTCTTGTGCATTTGTCCTGCGTCTCTCTCTCTCTCTCTCTCTCTCTCTCTCTCTCTCTCTCTCTCTGTGCGTGTGTGGTTGGGAGGGGGGGTAACTAATCAAGGCAGAAATCCTAAACACAATTATTAGAGAGTAAGGGACGTGGGTGGCACTGTGGGTTAAACCACAGAGCCTAGGGCTTGCCGTGAATCAGAAGGTCGGTGGTTCAAATCCCCGTGACGGGGTGAGCTCCCGTTGCTTGGTCCCTGCTCCTGCCAACCTAGCAGTTCGAAAGCACGTCAAAGTGCAAATAGATAAATAGGTACCACTCCAGCAGGAAGGTAAATGGTGTTTCTGTGTGCTGCTCTGTTTCACCAGAAGCGGCTTAGTCCTGCTGGCCACATGACCCGGAAGCTGTACGCCGGCTCCCTCGGCCAATAAAGCGAGATGAGCACCGCAATCCCAGAATTGGCCACGACTGGACCTAATGGTCAGGGGTCCCTTTACCTTTACCTAAGTACCATTCAGTAGGCATGTATAGGATTGCTCAATATAGGACTTTGATTTTCTACCTCAGATGCAACAATTGCATCAGTTTCATTATTCTTATTTTAAAGAATTATAAAGTTTTATACTGAAAAGAAAGAGAAAAAAGTATTAGCACTCCATGCTGCAATACTTTGCTGAAGGTCCCACTTGTCTTTGTTTCAATGTACATATTGAACAGATATGAAGCAAAAAGGAGAGAAAAGCATAGGAGGAGAGCCTTGAATGTGAGCAGAATCCATGTCCTATACCATCCCTACCAGTTGCACATAAAACCACTGGTTGCACCAGAACTTAGCTAGAAATCCCACTGTGCATTTATTCCCATAATTCCTTGATCCTGAAGTAGTACAAGCAAACCTGTGCTTATCTGCCTTGGTGATCCCATGGCTTGATGCTAAGTAGTAACAAATCCCTGACTGATTCTAGCTCCTTCGAAGAAGTGTTGTTCCTCCCTCCACTCAGATTCCTAATTTGACTGAGCTTTACCATCTTAAAGCATCAATCTTCTTAATTCTCTTGCCAGTACATAAGAAATTGAAGCAATAAACCACAACCTGCTTGTAGTGGTGTTAACATTATTATGTATGATGCTAGCTGACAGGAGGACCGTTTTCCTATTAAACTTCAACCAAAGATATGAGCGCATTATCTTGCATGCATCTCTAACACTTGCTGCTGTGGTTTTTTTTTTAAAAAAAGCCTACTGATGACTCACTCAAAAAAGCTGACCTTAAATTCACCCCGTGCAATATTGAGTTTGCATTGGGGGGAAAAGAGGGACAAGATTTTCAGTTTGCGTCTTCATTATTGCTGGTTTCAAAATGCTTTCAGCTCAGGTTCCTTGTTGGTTCTGGGTATTGTGAAATCTCATTTTTCTATTGCATCCATTTAAAATTAGGGGAAGAGACTTAGCTTGAGCATCTACCTTGCACGCAGAAGGTGAAAATGGACTATAACCCGTCCTTTGGCTGATTAAGCAATCCATGGACTTTTAAATGTGTTGGTAGGAAGGTGGGTTATTGGTTTGTTTTTCTTTCCTTTTTATTATGTATTTTGCGTTCTCATTTTCTATTTTTATGTTGTGAATCATTCTGCAATCTTTGGATGAAGGCCTGGATACTAACTAACTAACTAACTAACTAACTAACTTTCCTGGTTCAATCCCTGGTATCTCCAGGCATGGATGGAGGAAACCCCAGTGTAGACAGTAATGAACTAGATAGCCTGTTGGTTTTCTTCTGTACAGGGCAGCTTCCTTAATTACTAAAAATGAAGACACTGGGTGATTAGAATCACAAATGAACCCTTATTTTTATATACAATACTGTTTTCATTCGTTCGTTCATTCAGACTTTATTGGCATAATGTAGGCAATAAAATCATAAGAGAGAGAGAAAATAATAATAATAATAATAATAATAATAATAATAATAATAATAATAATAATTTTTTAAAAAAACATTGGTAATTCAGACATATTAAACACATTAAACATATAAAAGATTTGGTAGCCACCATTAAGTAAAATTAAGTAATTTTAAATTTGACTTTTAAAATCTCGACTAAATATCCTGAAACAATCTCAGTAGTTTTAGGTATGTCGTCCCTCAACAGACATTGGATTACAAATTCTTTGCAAATACAGTGGTGCCCCGCAAGACGAATGCCTCGCAAGACGGAAAACTCGCTAGACGAAAGGGTTTTCTGTTTTTTGAGCTGCTTCGCAAGACGAATTTCCCTATGGGCTTGCTTCGCAGGACGAAAATGTCTTGCAAGTTTGTTTCCTTTCTCTTAACACCGTTAATACAGTTGCGACTTGACTTCGAGGAGCAACTCATAGAACGCAGTGTACATAGTAGCCTTTTTTGAGGTTTTTAAAGACTTTGGTGATTTTGGAAGCTTTTCCAAAACTTCTTTTGCAGCCATTTGGTAAGTTAAGCTTTTAAAACTTTTTTGGGGGGTTTTGGATTTTGGGTTGGGGTGTTTGGAATTCAAGGACTTGGTGTTGGGGAGGGGTTTTCAAGAATCTGGAAGCTTGTGTGTTTTTTTTCTGCATTTATATGATTTTCTGTGACCATTGGGGCACTCTGCTGTTTTTTTAAAAAAATTCTGGATTTGAATTTCTGTGTGCTGGGTGGCTAGGGCAACAGTTGGGGAGGGGTTTGCAAGAATCTGGAAGCTTGTGTGTTTTTTTCTGCATTTTTATGATTTTCTGTGACCATTGGGCCACTCTGCTGTTTTTTTAAAAAAATTCTGGATTTGAATTTCTGTGTGCTGGGTGGCTGGGGGAACAGTTGGGGAGGGGTTTGCAAGAATCTGGAAGCTTGTGTGTTTTTTTCTGCATTTTTATGATTTTCTGTGACCATTGGGCAACTCTGCTGTTTTTTTTAAAAAAATCTGGGTTTGAATTTTGAAATGCTCTTTACAGTATGTGTGACTTTAAAGAGCACTTAATAAACTCTTGTTGTACCAAATTTGGCTTTGTTTGGACTTTTTTTGACCATAGGAACGCATTACAGTGGTGCCTTGCAAGACGAAATTAATCCGTTCCGCGAGAGTCTTCGTCTAGCGGTTTTTTCGTCTTGTGAAGCAGCCCTATTAGCGGCTTAACGGATTAGCGCTATTAGCGGTTTAGCGGCTATTAAAGGCTTATTGGCTTATCGGATTAGCTGCTAAAAGGCTATTAAAGGCTTAGCGGCTTAGATAAAGGGGGGAAAAGCGAAAAAAAAATCTCAGGACTCGCAAGACATTTTCGTCTTGCGAAGCAAGCC